CCTCCCAGCCAGCTTGGGCTGAGGATGCTCTAGGATGGACAGACTGCAAGGCAGGAGTTTTGGGTCCTAATGCCTACCCTGCCACCAGATCATTCTCTTTTTCTGCACCTCATCTTCCTCCTCTGTACGTCAAAGGTAGAGATAAAAGGGCTAAACTTGGGATCAGAAGTTCTCAAGTTCAAGTCCTAGACATGCCTTTTACTAGCCCTGCAACACTGGGCCTGTTATTCCATACATTCATTCACTTTGTACAAGGCTCAGCGCTACTTGTCTTTGGTCCTCAGTCTGCTCACCTGCAAACGGGCATAATAATGCCAACCTCAGAAGATGGCTTTGGAGATTAAGAGAAAAATACATATAAGAAGCTTCCACAGACCATGGAACAGAGAAAGGGCAATAATTTCTTCTAAGGTTCTTTTTTTTTAATAAATTTATTCACTTATTTACTTTTGGCTGCATTGGGTCTTTGTTACTGCATGCGGGCTTTCTCTAGTTGCGGCGAGCGGGCTTCTCATTGTGGTGGCTTCTCTTGTTGCTGAGCACAGGCTCTAGGAGCACGGGATTCAGTAGTTGTGGCACGTGGGCTCAGCAGTTGTGGCGCAGGGGCTTAGTTGCTCCACGGCATGTGGGATCTTCCCAGACCAGGGCTTGAACCTGTGTCCCCTGCACTGGCAGGCGGATTCTTACCCACTGCATCACCAGGGAAGTCCTCTAAGGTTCCTTCTGGTTGACTCTGAAAATATTTGCTATTGCTGGGCCTAAAAGAGGGGCTCCAAGATTACTTGCTGAATGAATGGCTTCAACTGTAAAGTGCAATATTAAGTGGCTACGGGGGAGCTGGCTCTTTACAATGAGGCATGCTACAGAACCAGGCCCCGGGCACAGGGGCTCAAGCACCCTCATCATGCACGGAGGGCTTCTCCTCCATCTAGTCCAGTAGACAGGAAAGAGGGCTGGCGGGCCTGTGCCGACAGTCTTCCCAGGCCTTTTCAATGCCAGGCTGATGTCTCAATTCTGGCCCCACTCAGTCTGAGCAGCTGCTGGTTTTCCACACCCAAGGGGTGCCAGGCCTGGCTTAGAATCATGAAAAGGCATTGGTAGGCATCTGCCGTTTGAAGAAGCTGCAAGGCTAAACTGTATTCACACTGGCCTCTAGTGGCAAATTTCCAAAACAGCATTCTAAATGGAAATTCGGCAGCTGAAGGAATCTTCTCAGAATGACCTAGATTCAGAAATTTAGGGCTAATAGGGGCCTTGCTCTGATCTTCGTTTGATGAATGAGAAAACCAAGTTTCAGAGGTAAAGTGATTCACCCAAGGTCACACAAAAGCCTCACATCTCACTGTCCACAAACCTGACCCAAAACTGGCCATCTGTGGTTTCAGACAGTTAGGGATCATGGATTACCTACTTGGAAGAACAAATAAGGACCCATTTTTCAAAATCAGACCAAGCCGGCCTTAGAGTGAGACCCTAACATGTTTTCTTCCCCTATACTTTGCTTCCTTTTTTTGTTGTTTTTCTCCCCTCTTTTAACTGTAAAAAAAATGTTGCTGGAAGATCCCTATCCAATATTTACCTGAAAAATAGTAATCTACCCTACAGGCAACAGGGCTCTGAGGCCATGAAGTGCTTTGTAGGCAGTAAACTCTGCCACTTAAACAAATGTGCTCTTCAATGTTTCCTCCTCCACACGTTGCAAGAATGTAGTGCCATAAGGGGCCACGGTGACAGCTCAGATTGGCTCGAGGATCTGAGGGTAGGAATCGTTTCCCTTGTGCAGGGAAAGCTATTTTGACATATTCTGGAGACACAGTCCAAAAATAAATCAAGCTGAGGACTTCCACAGGGCTTAGTGGAAAGGCTTTGCTACCATACCAGCTAAAGCCTGGGTTTGGAGACTTGGGGTAATGCTATTATTTCTGCAAATGGATCTCAAATCTTTTCCTGACAGAGAACAATTTTTAATTTGATTTATTCAGCAATAACCTCAAAGAATTGCATAAGGTGCTAAGAGAACTCCCAGAGGGGAATAAGACAAGGGCTTTTGCTCTCAGAGGTTAGCCCAGCGGGAGGGAGAGGTATGCAAGGTCAGGCTGCTGAAACGTTGGTGTGAAAAGGCAGAAGTATGTGGTGGCTTCAAGGGCCGCCGGTAATAAGGACAGCTGTTTCCTAAATACTGGTCCCTGTTCTAAGTACCTGCTCTAGCTCATTTAATCTTCACAATAGCCTTATGAGGTTAGGACCATTATCCTCATTTTATAGTTGAGGAAACTAAGGCACAGGGAGATTAAGAAACTATTAATAGTTCATCACACTGCTGCTAAGCAGTGAAGCTGGGCTCTGAACTCTGGCGTCTGGTTCCAGAGCCCTTTATCCTCAGTGTCATAATTGCTGATGACCTCTCCCCTGAATTTCTGTGATATCTACTGAACCATACCATCTCACCCACGCTGGTACCCTCACAGGATCTTAGTGTCACACATGGTCTGATGTCCGCGGTGTACTAAATGGGAACGGAAGGTGGAAGAGCATTGTTTCTTAAAGCTCAATCTTAGCAGCCAAAGCCAAGAGCTTTGAATCCCTTCCGTTTTCTAAGACCACTACTGGTCTAGGAGGCAGAAGAAAAGGTTATTGTCCTGATTGCTCCATGCTCTAGGAACCACTCCCCCCCCCAATTTCATGTTGACAAACATGACCTTTAGGCTCTCACCACACAAAGTGTAGTATCTGGACCAGCAGTCACCATCTCCTGGGAGCTGGTTAGAAACCCAGAAGCTCTAGCCGGATGCTGAATCCGGATCTGCTTTCTAGCAGACTCCCCGGTGATTCTTGAGTGTGGCAAAGAGTGAGAAGCCCTGGGCTAAGACCCTTGGGGGCCACGCACTTTCCAGTCTGGGTACCAAACTTCTAACCCATCCCATGGGCAGTTGTTTGAAGGCTTCTTTCGTTGGCTTATCTACTCCCAACTTCAAGCCTTCTCTAAAAAGTCTGGAATCTCCTACCCTTCCCACCAAAGCTATATATCTCCTGTCCCTTGATTAGCTCTCACAGTCCCACAACCTATCTTCATTAATCTCCATCTAAGTTACAAACTCATCCTGCATTCTCTGCGTAACCTACCTTCACCTTGATCTATCTGAGCTGTGACTGAAATGAGCTATCTGTGCCCTAGCACACCCCACTTCCACAAGACTTGTCGTAACTGTACTTTTCCAGAGAGGGTGTAGACACTCGTATGACGAAAGGATCAACCAGGACTCCTTTTACGCAAGCTCCCTTTACACAAAGTCAGGAATTTCTATATCTCTGGCTAACTGGCAGAATCACTGGAAACTGAAACAGTTCAAGTTTTACTCTTTGAGGTCACATCCTTTAGGAAAACTGGCATATGTTGCATGTGTGATCACCTCGGCATACATCTGGTATATTATCCAGAAACAAGGACCTGTGCCTGTGTAGCTCTTCCCAGTGTAATCACAACCTTCTTTACTTCTCAAAGTAGCGATGATATGTTTCCACCTCTCTCAATGACCTGGGTGAAAGCAGGGATTTTCAGGATTATAATTCTGGAAGGTCAGTGGTTGAGTGTCTTATTCCTTGCTCCTAGAGGTGGGTCCAATTATGTCCACCCAGTCCAGGCTGAAAGAAATATATTTCTATTTTCCCAGAACAGTACTCTATACCCCAAAACCATCTCTGGGAGGTTACAAAGTCATTTATATAGTTTGTTGATGGGTTTTGCTTTTTTGTTTTTCAGAGAAAAGAGACAGAAAGATGGAGAAAGAGGCTGAACATGGGGAAGGCTTGGGGAACAGAACCTTGTTTGGCCATTCCATAAAGTAAATCACCATTTCCAAAATATGTAGAGTGATAAGGATGAACAGTTAAGCTATAATCCCCTTTTCAATCAACAAACTACCCATTTAAGAAAACAAACACAATGGGGCTTCCCTGGTGGCGCAGTGGTTGAGAGTCCGCCTGCCGATGCAGGGGACACGGGTTCGTGCCCCGGTCCGGCAAGATCCCACATGTCGCGGAGCGGCTGGGCCCGTGAGCCATGGCCTCTGAACCTGCGCGTCCGGAGCCTGTGCTCCGCAATGGGAGAGGCCACAACAGTGAGAGGTCCGTGTACCGCAAAAAAAAAAAAGAAAACAAACACCACAACACATTTTGCCTCTGGGCTTGTGATGACATGCAGGTGTATCTCTTCCAAGTTCAGGGAATGGTTCAGGTCTCTCAGCACATCCACTTGGTCAATCTACAGGGGATTCCCCCTCACTCAGAAATGCTAATCAACATCACTTCTTTCTTTGGTGCTGCTTTTTTAAAGTCAAACCTACTATTGGATGGGAGAAGTCTACTAGAGATGCAAAAACCTAAAATGATATGAAAACTTGAATATCAGTCCTGCAATACTACTTGAAAGGGCTCAGAGGTCCAAATGGCTGTTAGAACCTCATACAATATTTAAAATCAAACTACAGCAGTGATTTCAACCATCAATGGCATTTTATTTTGGAAGTTCTATGTATTCCATAGGTATTAACTTCCTTTCTCTCACTGCCCCCTCCCTAAAAAAATCAGAAAGATTAAAAAATATATATATAAAATCTCTTATCTAGTTTCTCTAAAGTCTTAGGTTAAAAAACTTAAGTGGTGGGCTTCCCTGGTGGCGCAGTGGTTGAAAGTCCGCCTGCCGATGCAAGGGACACGGGTTCGTGCCCCAGTCCAGGAAGATCCCACATGCCACAGAGCAGCTATGCCCGTGAGCCACGGCCGCTGAGCCTGCGCGTCTGGAGCCTGTGCTCCGCACAGGGAAAGGGCAAAAAACAAAAGGGCCCCGCGTACCGCAAAAAAAAAAAAAAAAAAACTTAAGTGGTGCTTCTCCTTTATGAGGATACTGCTTTCTAAGAAGAATTCATAGTCTTTCCGTATGCTCACTATAGATTTCTACTCCTTCCTGGGGAAAAAATGGTCAATGCTTCTGCTTCTTTTTAATAAATTAATTTCTCAATTATTACACATTATCATTCCCCACTTGACACATTCTTAGAAACTTGATTGTTGGATGCATTTTTCACTTGGCAAAAATTCAATGTGGCTTTGCGTGGGATGTCTAAGTGTCGGAAACAGCAGTGTTGATGTTCTGGTTTTGAGAGGGAAAATATATAGAGAGATGCATACAATCCCTGGAAGAACAAAGGCAAGAGACTGAAATAGGGGGTGCACACAGTTAAGAAGGCTGATAGACACTACTTGGTTTTGAATTCTACGGCTGTCAGCCACCAAAGACTGCAGTGTAGCCCAGAATATAAATTTCTGCAAGAAGAGGCTGGTTAGGCACTGCGAAATGACAGAGTTGGCTTCATTTCATTCCAAGTGTATAGAGCAGATACACACAAGAAGGAGCAGTATGGGTCATTTGCAGTGAGCAGTAACCTGTGAACAATCATGCATGGGCATTTCTGCAAATGCTCTGTTAACACAGGCACTGGGGAAGAGAAAAGAAGCATCCTATTAAAATACACTTCCATCTCTAACTCACCCAAGACCCCAGGCCTCCTCAGCGCCTCAGATTTGCAAGACCAAAATGCAGTTTAGAGTTACGTGTCATTCTAGGTCATCTGGAAACTGGTTCACTGGGGCCATCTCAGAAGACCTGGGCGTGCGCAAGAGTGCGGCAAGTCTACCCAGAAGGGTATGCCTTAATGATCTTCACATCGTCCACAGGACGGTCCTGGGAGTTTGTTTCCACCATTCCTACTCGATTCACCATTCCTATACCCTGGCACACACGGCCAAAAATGGTGTGCTTGCCGTCAAGCCACTGAGTGGGAGCCAGGGTCACAAAGAACTGGCTCCCGTTGGTGTCTGGCCCGGCATTGGCCATTGCGAGAATTCCAGCCCCTGGCGGGAAAAAGGAAGAGAGGAAAGAGTATGAATAACCCCAATAGCTCCAGCCTGGATCTGCAACACCAGCCTAGGGATAAAAAGAAGCCAGACCAACCACCCGACCAGACAACCTTCCCCTCAGGGCAGGCTCTCTGCCCTTGCACAAGGGCTAAAAACTGCACTACCCGATGGCCTCATCTTCCTTGTCTTCACCTACTCCCTAGCCTCTATCCATCATGATCCCTGCTAAACTCTGGACCATGTTCTCAATTCCCCTCAAAAATTCAAGAAGGTCAACTGCTTCTTTGAGGAAGCTTATAACAGCAACATTCAACAAGTAGTTAGAATCAAGATCACTCAGATTGGCACTCTGAATCGCTCAGGACTCTTGAGGCCGCTTTCTCTAATCCGCCAGCGCTCTTTGTGGCTCTGCAGCTGGGCAGCTACATGGCACCGGGCCACGGTGTCAGGCATTCACCTTGAATCACAGCCAAAAGAGTGAGCTTTTAAAATCCACTCCCTCTTCCTACCCAGTCCAGACAGGTCATATGCCTACCTGTGAATTTCAAGTCTGGATGAAGTTCATCTTCAAACTGCTTGCCATAGATAGATGCACCACCTCGACCTGCCAGTTAGAAGACAGGAAACCAATCAGCCCACATTCCACCTCACACCAAGAACCACAGTCCAGGGTTAAATGACTTTTGGAGTACAGGCAAGGAAAATCAGTGAGCACGCCTAGCACTGTGCTAAGTACACTGCAACTACACAGCCCGGCAGCAGAATCGAGCATTGGCACAGCACATTCAAGTCACTGGTTTCAGTTAGGTAAGACGTTTCTTTTCAAAATAACACTGAGTGTTTTTTTCCTGCTTATGAAAGTGATACATTTTCACTGTCAAAATGTAGAAAACATAGATCATTATCAAAGGAACATTAAAGTCCCCTGTAATCTAACCATCTACAAATAACCACCATTCACGGTTTGATGTGTTAAGAGGTTTCCTAATTTTTTACATTTTTATGGGTACTTTAGACAGGAGTGCTCCAAGTCCTAACCCTATGTCCATCACAGACACTGCTAATCAATCAGCACTCTTCCCTGCTGAGCTTAGACTGGGCTCTGAATCCTTATCAACCCAGAAATCCAGGCAGCCATTTTTAATGGATCAGATACAGCATAAGAATTGAAACCTATTTGTCATCCTTAACCTAGATGAAGGAAAATAAAATTCATTTAAGTCAAAGATAACTAGCTTAAGGAGAAACAAGGACAGTGCTGAGTGGCAATGTGGCAGAAAAGAATAATATTACAGTAGGGAGAATTCATTGGGAGGAGAAGCAGTATGCTGTAAGGAGAATATGAAGAAACATGGCATTGGGAATGATTTGCTAGCAACATCACAGGTTATTTATATATCCACAAGAGTCCATACCCTTGCTGTTCTGGGCACCCAGGTTTTGTTGTTAGAGAAAAATGATACGTTAAATACGATTTTTCCATAGGAAAAAATGTCCTAATAGGAGATACCTCTCTTAATTATTTAGTCAACCATATGTCTTGTTGAACTACTTTGGTTTCTCCAAGTTGACCAGTCAAGACAAAACAGCCTGAAACAAAGTGAACAGATTTATCAGCTTACTCTGCTTGCCTGGCAGACAGGAAACAGGCCAGAGGCAAGGAGCTCACTTCCTCTTACAGCCTGCTGTGAAAGTAGCATGTTAAAGCACCATGTCCACCCCCAGAGGCCCCTGGGCCCTGCTAAGGTGTTTCCATGGTAAAAAAATCCTTTGCTGTGTCTTTTAGGATGCTCCATCACAGGGAGCCTGTCACAGCCCCCGGTTCAGGAAGAAAACGCTGTTCTCATGCAAAGAGGAATGGGGGTGAATGTTAACAGAGTTGGGGAAACCTCCCACCTGGCCCAGGCTACCCATGCTTCTGGAAAATTACTGAACTACCAAACTATGTAAAAATTCATTCCAAAAATTCCAACATGCCAGTATACCTCCAAACAGCAATTATATAAGCAGTATGTTCCCTCTGACTACAGAGTCAAGGTTCCTGCTTGAGCTTGGGGTGGGGGGTTGGTTAGTAGAAGTGCTAGGGCTGAAGATGAGAGAGGAGAAAGAGGGCTATGGGGACAAACTAAGGTCAAGCCCTACCTCCAGGGCTTGAATGAGCATGATGAGGATGAAACTCAGCAGTGCACTGTCTGTCTGCAGGCTGAGCCTTGGAAGTGTGATCTCTGCAAGCCAAGGACTGCCAGAACCTCAGGGCCGCACTCTCAAGGAACTGAAACCGAACATATGAATGGCACCACAAACAGGATAGGCCAGTCAAGAGTCACAGATAAAGCCTGGGGGCTTAAGCAATCGGAAGGAGATGAGAGGAAAGGGCATGGAAGCCCCACTTCACTCACTAGGCATAGTTTGACCAACTCCAAGTAGTTTGGGCCTCGAAGGCACCATTTAATCATAATATGTTATCTTTTCATAACCTAATTCAACTCAGTAGGGTTTGCAGCAAATTGTCAGAAAGACAAATAATTCCAATCAAAACATTCCTTTGGGCATGCAGAATAGTGGGGAAATGGACAGGGAGTGATTAAAGAGTTCTCTGGTGCACAGCAGGCAACAGATGTCAATGATCACATATAAAGCCAAAAATTAGGAAGCTCTGTGGTAAAAACGTGCTGTGTGCCTCCTCTAGTACAGATACAAGGGAGACAGGCACAGGCCTGTTTTCCAAACTCTGTGCCCTCAAAGTTCTTCCACTCTTCTGCCCTCTCCTTTAAACATTTATTCAATGTATTTAATAGTTCAGACATAAAAAGATACAAAGAATAATACGACAAACAACTGTGCAGCCTCCCCTCAAGAAATAAAGTGTGGCCAATCCAGTCGAAGACCCCAGGCACACACACCCTGTTTCCCTACCCCAACTCCACCACTCCCCCAAGAGCTAACAACTGCTGTGAAGGATCTCATTTTCCTCTCAGGTCACCACTACCCTTTCTGACCAGGAGTTTTGTCATTTCCGTGCATTTTCTTTTCTACTACATATTGTATGCATCCCTAAACAAATGTACTGTTGTTTGCATGTGTTTAGGTTTATATAAATGGTATTATACTCTATATATTCTTCTTCAGTTAGCTTTTTCTGGGTCACCACTGTAAGTGATATTCGTCCATTTTGTTCCATGCAGCTCTCTGTAGCATTCGTTCCACTAAATGATTACAACACCATCTTTTCTCACGGTGATGGGTAGTTAGGATCTTTCCAATGTTTTTGCTATCATAAACCATGCTGCAATAACCATTCTTATACTGTCTCCCAAACACAAGTGCAGGAGCTCTCAGGGACTATACCTCATGGGGGATATGCAGGCTCACAGTGTATCAGCATTTCACCATTACTAGATTTCCCCAACTATCTTGCCAGAAGTGGCCCCAATGTGCGTCCCACCCACAGCGCTCTCACTCTTACCCTTACTGCTCGAGGTCCTTTTGCCAGGCTTTTTCTAATGTTTGTCGGTCTGAAAGGTGTCAGATCTCTTGTGTGTTTTAAACTGCGTTTCCCTGAAGCTGTGCGTAATTTCCTGTTTACTGGCTATTTAGCTTCCCTCCTGTCAACAGCCACATTTCTACCGAGTGGTTTCACATTTTAAAATTTATATATATTTTATTAGCAGGATTATTCTAGACACTAATCCTTTGTCAGTTAATGCTTTTGCAAATACTTTTTTCCAGTTTACTTTTTTCACTTTTTTTTTCTGCTTTATAACAAAGTGAATCAGTTATACATATACATATGTTCCCGTATCTCTTCCCTCTTGCGTCTCCCTCCCTCCTATCCTCCCTATCCCACCCCTCCAGGTGGTCACAAAGCACGAGCTGATCTCCCTGTGCTATGCGGCTGCTTCCCACTAGCTATCTACCTTACGTTTGGTAGTGTATATATGTCCATGCCACTCTCTCGCTTTGTCACAGCTTACCCTTCCCCCTCCCCATATCCTCAAGTCCATTCTCTAGTAGGTCTGTGTCTTTATTCCTGTCTTACCCCTAGGTTCTTCATGACATTTTTTTTTCTTAAATTCCATATATATGTGTTAGCATACAGTATTTGTCTTTCTCTTTCTGACTTACTTCACTCTGTGTGACAGACTCTAGGTCTATCCACCTCATTACAAATAGCTCAATTTCGTTTCTTTCTATGGCTGAGTAATATTCCATTGTATATATGTGCCACATCTTCTTTATCCATTCATCCGATGATGGACACTTAGGTTGTTTCCATCTCCGTTGGTACATGACTCTTTCTGAATTATGGTTTTCTCAGGGTATATGCCCAGTAGTGGGATTGCTGGGTCATACGGTAGTTCTATTTGTAGTTTTTTAAGGAACCTGCATACTGTTCTCCACTGTGGCTGTATCAATTTACATTCTCACCAACAGTGCAAGAGGATTACCTTTTCTCCACACCCTCTTCAGCATTTATTGTTTCTAGATTTTTTGATGATGGCCATTCTGACTGGTGTAAGATGATATCTCATTGTAGTTTTGATTTGCATTTCTCTAATGATTAATGAAGTTGAGCATTCTTTCATGTGTTTGTTGGCAGTCTGTATATCTTCTTTGGAGAAATGTCTATTTAGGTCTTCTGCCCATTTTTGGATTGGGTTGTTCGTTTTTTTGTTATTCAGCTGCATGAACTGCTTATAAATTTTGGAGATTAATCCTTTATCAGTTGCTTCATTTGCAAATATTTTCTCCCATTCTGAGGGTTGTCTTTTGGTCTTGTTTATGGTTTCCTTTGCTGTGCCAAAGCTTTGAAGTTTCATTAGGTCCCATTTGTTTATTTTTGTTTTTATTTCCATTTCTCTAGGAGGTGGGTCAAAAAGGATCTTGCTGTGATTTATGTCATAGAGTGTTCTGCCTATGTTTTCCTCTAAGAGTTTGATAGTTTCTGGACTTACATTTAGGTCTTTAATCCATTTTGAGCTTATTTTTGTGTATGGTGTTAGGGAATGATCTAATCTCATACTTTTACATATACCTGTCCAGTTTTCCAAGCACCACTTATTGAAGAGGCTGTCCTTTCTCCACTGTACATTCCTGCCTCCTTTATCAAAGAAAAGGTGACCATATGTGCGTGGGTTTATCTCTGGGCTTTCTATCCTGTTCCATTGATCTATCTTTCTGTTTTGGTGCCAGTACCGTACTGTCTTGATTACTGTAGCTTTGTAGTATAGTCTGAAGTCAGGGAGCCTGATTCCTCCAGCTCCGTTTTTTGTTCTCAAGGTTGCTTTGGCTATTCGGGGTCTTTGGTGTTTCCATATAAATTGTGCAATTTTTTGTTCTAGTTCTGTCAAAAATGCCAGTGGTAGTTTGATAGGGATTGCATTGAATCTGTAGATTGCTTTGGGTAGTAGAGTCATTTTCACAATGTTGATTCTTCCAATCCAAGAACATGGTATATCTCTCCATCTATTTGTATCATCTTTAATTTCTTTCATCAGTGTCTTATAATTTTCTGCATACAGGTCTTTTGTCTCCTTAGGTAGGTTTATTCCTAGATATTTTATTCTTTTTGTTGCAATGGTAAATGGGAGTGTTTTCTTGTTT